AGAAAACAAAGAGAAAGGCAGAAGATTGATAGTAAGAAAATGTGACGACTTGCCAGAGACTCATACATAAGGAAATAACACATAGAACACAATTTCTTGGCTTCCCTAATGTTCTTTGATTCCCTGTGTGTTAAACTCAACCTTTGTACCCTTAAATAAAGCTTAATAACCAGCAGTTGTTATTAAATAAATCTGAATTGGACAGAAAATCCACAAGGCTTTTGAAATCAGATAAATTGTGTAAAAAAAGTCACACAAGTGAGCCCTGATGGGACAAAGTTTATTAATTGAAGGTAATCAGTGGAACAGAAATATATAGCCTGACAACAAATAATTTTTTTTAATAAATAGAATACCTGGTCTCTAACTCACTTGACTGTTATACTGATATCTGAATTTGCTAGAAAATGAATCAAGTACAGTGATTAATAAATAAAGGTTTTTCTTGAGAAACGAACAAGTGGATTTTCTCATTTTTTTGAGTAAGACTTTTTCAGTATCAATAGACCTAGATTAACAGTTTTTTTTAACCAGTTCAGATAACACTGGTTTACCAATGTGTCCAAACGTCTATGCTGATAAATATTTCATATTTTTCTTACATGTTTAACTGCTGCTTTATAAAATAGTATTGATAAGCAGTTGTATTTCTAATAAATTATTTCTGTATTCATATCTGTCATGCTGTTCCAGGATAATAAATACTATGCAGAGAAAAAAATAAGAAATAGTAAGCAAAAAAAATTAAAGGCAGGAGATAAGAGAAAAGAAAATGAAATCCTACTAAATCTGGTTTCTATATATTTCCATATGCTTCTATCCTTGGAAGCCGTGCTTTGTAACAACATAGACACATTAAACCATTGTCTTTTTTCCTTTAAACTTCTCACCTCTGTCTTCTTGGGGAATCTCATTTATTTCACCAAACCTCAGCTTTTCCAATCTATCCCTTCATCTGGATTGTTTCACTTTTTCTTCATAAATTTGTTTGGCAATTTGATCCTCATTTATTCTCTCTGAAAGAGCACGTTGCCGTAATATACTTATTTTGCTCTAATCATTTATTTTTATATTCACTCTACTTTCATTCTGCATTCATTTGTTCTTGACCTTATTTGTGTTACCACGTATACTTACTATCTTTCTATGAGGATCTATAAATCTTAAAAATTCTTCGTCCATATCCCTAACTTTAGAAAACCTCTGTCAAATTATACAAATCAATTTATTTGCTCTATTTTTTCATAATATGTGTATAGCTTAATTTCAGCCCTTTGAAGTAGGCCAGGTCAAGAAACAAACACTCCAGGGATACTAGGAAAGACACTTTATTATGGTAAACAGAATCAAGGTAGGGTTATTTTGAGTGACTTTCTCAGATATGCTTTGACCTCTGGACTGCGTAATAGCTCTTGTTCAAGTCTCAGCTTTTCTGCTTGGTGGCTCATTCGTTCCTTCCTCAAGGACAACTATAAACTCTTTTATATCATTTCGGCTGTTAGAATCACTCTCAATGGCTACAGACTTCCTCCTGTCTCTTTCACTTGCAAATGGCCCTGGCATCTCAACAAAGTCAATGTATAAATCTGGCAGAGTAGAGTCAGATAGAGCTGGAAAGTTCCTCCCTCCCCTTCCCAGCACCAGAGAACCTAAGTGTCTCCATTCTGGAGCTGTTGATAGTAACTACAATTAACATGGGCAAGTATTGTGCAAGAATTTCATAAGGAACTAGAATACAAGAGGTGGAGTATGGACATCGATTGCCCTCTCCCTCTATTTCTCTGATTTGGAATAGCCTTTCCAGTGAATGACATACTCATAAATTTTGCTCTATGTTTAGAATCCAGAATATATTCCACTTCATCTTTTTCTTATCCATTCACCAGGAACTGACAAAGCTTAGTGGAAGGCCACACCAATTCTCCCACAGATGTCGTCTTGCTTTTGTGCATCTGGGACATGCTTATATGCAATCTTGACCAAATCTAATTCTTTCTTTAAAGGAACTGACAGGGATGAGGAAAGGAGGTGGAGTTCTGGAAGGCAAGATGTATGGTAGCCATAAATTCCATGGAGGAATGTATACTTTATGCAACGTGGAGTTTTTTTGTTTTTTTTTTTAGCTAAGGTGGAATTTATGACTGGCTAGTATAATCTTTAAGCAGGTCTTTATTATATCTGTATTACGGTTGTCAGTTATAGGTTTATCTGTTCGTTCTTTTTTCTTTGTCATATTCATAAAGGAATGTGAAACTTATGACATGTAATACACAGAGGCACAGACATACACAGCAGATGCAAAACCTGTTTAATGAGGTTTTCAAATACTGTATGTGGTTTTGGAGGAACTGGCATTTAAAGAAGAATATTTTCATCTGCACTAGACATTAAATTAGAAGGTTGTGCAGTGCTAGAACAAAAAGGTGTTTTTAGATAGACATCTAATCTATACTAATCTATACTTTAAGATTACTACATTTCATGGGCTGTATATGCAATTTTAAAACAAAATGAAAAGTGTTCTTGATAAATATAATACTATATTACGATATATATATTAATAATGAACAAAATACACATTAGGTGGTGAACAAAGCCTATTTAAGAAAGTTTATTTTTTATGCTCACTATATAGTGGAAGTATAGAGCTTTTCTGTTTTGCAGCTTTGTAACGACAATTCTATGCTTTCCATATGTTGTTCTAATACTCGCCTTTATGCCTTAGACTTGTTTTTGTTGTCATCTGTTTCTATTTGCTCTGCACCCCTTCCAGCTGGCAGGGTTTATTTGATAACCCTTTGAGACTGTGTTGCCTGGGTTTGATTGGTGGTAACTCTCCATTCTGTGATGAGGTTCCTCTGAAGAAAGGCAAGCTATAGTTGCCTGCCTTTGATTGGCTGCTCCTTTGTTTCCCTCCCCTTCCCAGGCACACACCACCGCAGGGTTTGTTCGGAGACCTAAAACAGCCTTGTAGGCATCCATTCATGAATCTGTGACGTTAGTAGCTTCTGTGTTTGCAGTGGGGTTGCAGGATTGTGTGGGTGGAATTTCCTTTCTGTCTTTTATTGAGCAGGTTTATCTCTGCTAACTCTCCATTAAATGGGGACATGGAGCATAGTTGTATAATGTTCCTGTCATTGTAAGTATATTGGTTAAAAATCTGTCTTGCTTCAAGGTCTGTGTTTTCAGATGGACCAATATTATGTTTTAATCATTCATTTCAAAAGATGGGATAGATTTGTCTGTCAGTACAATAGAAAAAATGTTGGAAGACATATTAAAGCTAAGAATATTTTTGTATTTGGGCAACAGTCTGTATTTTACTTCTCTGTGGAGCTATTATAGACATATTGAATTTGCAATTCGGCATATTATGCAGTAATCTTTATCCATTTCTAAAACAGAACAGAATGAATTTTAATAATTTGTTGAAATGCAGGTTATCATGAGAATATTAAGAGAAATAACTGCAATTGATTTCAGAACAGCAGGCTACCCCCCTCCCCTCTCCCTCTTTTCCTTTGTGAGAATGTAATCTGATTGTCTGGTGAAATGGCTTCAGAACCCTTTAATACAGTTTAAAATCTAACATTATTAACAGTTTTAACAGTATGTTATTGGATGGAGGGAAAAAGCATGCTATCCGGTTTAGTTCTGAGTTACACATTTATTTCTTAAGATGTTTCATTTTTATAAACAAATTGATTTTTAACTATTTTCGTTAATGGGTAGATTTGTTCATTCATATGCAAGCAGTTCTTTTTAACAGCAGATATTTTGCATTACACTGTAATCAGCTTTAAAAAAAATGAATTGTAAATCTCAGCATGTTGTCAGCTCCCGTTCTAGCATTGTACTTCATATATAATCCCAATCTATTTCTATTTATTGATGGTCAGAATGTGATGCCCCTTCTGGGAATTGCTTGCAGTAGGAGCTACTGAGGTCAGTAGAAATTCATTGTGAATAATCCCTGAAAAGAAGGGCAATGCATTGCACCCCTTGAAGAATAAGCTCCAAAGTACTGTAGAGTTACTGTATAGTATTAATACTGTATAGAAATTGAAGAAGCTATGTCAGATAACTACTTTAAAGGGGATAATTCTAGCTTCTCTTTGTCCTTAAGAAACCATACCAAGCATTTTCCTGCATTTATTGCTCTGATTGGAAATATTAGTAAGATTGTCTTTTCAATACTGTATCTAGAACAGAAGGCAACAATATAAAAACTGATTGTTTGCAGTGTTTGGAGAAATTAGCTTCTCTTCAAGCTGAGGCATGTTCTCCTGAGCACCTGATATTATTGTTTCTTTCTTCCATCCCAGTTGATTAATATACACCTACTCAGCATACTCTGCTGTGAGAAACTAATGTAAAATGCTATCCCAAATGTTAGTTGTCATAAAATTAATTTAAATTTATGGTTTTGATGAAAAACACATTTAATGTTAAATGTTAATTTTAGGCTTCTTCAGCTATAATAATAGGGCAGCTGATTATAAAGAGAATACTTTTGAAAGTTGATTTAGTTTTGAAACTTAAATCTGTAAATTGGATCAAATTAATATAATAAATCATTATTTATTAAACTATTTATTACCTACCACAATCCAAGGACTCTCAATAGTTTCTATGGTATCAACAATTATAATCCATGGTACATTAAAAAAAAGTCAAAATCATAAATCAAGAATCACCTTAACAATCACAAAAACAAAATAGGCAAAGAATAAACATAAGAATACAAGATGGCAAAAGTCATGAAGTCAACCAAAGTCTTTAACATTCTTCTAAAAGAGGTAAGGGCAGAATTTTATCTTCCCGGGGACAGTATATGAAACATGCCCTATCATACATAAATGGTACACTAGCCAAATGCCTCTTTTAAAATATTGGCAGTAATCTTAACAAAATTAGCATAGTTTAGTTCATTTTCTAACCTGCTGATAATTGAATGGGTGGAGTATAATAGAAAGCCAAGCAAGTTAGTAAATAAATAAAATAATTGCTTATTTTAAAAAATCCTTAATTCTAATTCTTAAATCTGTGAGCAATCCAAAAGATGCATGTTCTAAGCATAGTCCTCAGTACCTCACTGTATCACAAAGTTATTGCTTACATGTTACTTACATTGTGCTGCCTTGCTTCTGAGTTCCTGTTTTATAGGATAGCCACACTGAAGGAAGATAGCCAGATTCATAAGAGGCTGCAGTGCCATCCCTACTCCTTGGAGGAAGTTCAGCTTGCCATGTCCTCACCAGATGTGCTCTCTGATTGTATGATTCTTGTAATCTGTTCCTTGGTTTTGTTACAGGTGCTGTGGCCACTTCCTGCACTAAGGATGGACATTCATTTCTTCTAAAGCAGTATATCTGACTATTTGCTCCATACACATGCATACCCACAATACAATGACCAGTTCTCAGGAGCTCCTGAGCTGGTCTTCCTCTACAACGATTATCAATAAGAGTCTCGATGAAGATGAAAGTTTCAGTGGGATGCATGGGGAACGTATACCCTCTGGTGTCCATCCTTCATCTGAAGTCATAGAAGATGGAAGAGAAAGGGGCTTACCTCACAACAATGCACCAGACAATATAAATAGTCCAGTGGCCACAACAGTATTAACCAGTGTGAGTGAAGATTCCAGGGACCAATTTGAAAATAGTGTGCTCCAGTTAACTGAACAAGATGATTTAGAAACTACTGTTCATCAGGGCAATGGTAACAATATAAGTGGACAGAACAACCATGGAACTGAAGATATAAAAATTCAATTTAATAGGACAGGAAGTGGAAATGGTGGATTTCTTGAAGGACTTTTTGGCTGTTTAAAGCCAGTATGGAATATTATAGGAAAAGCCTATTCTACTGACTACAAACTACAACAACAAGGTAAACTCTGCAAATAAAACTATCTTTTATTATTCCCCTACCCCTGCCCCTACCAAAAGCTTCATGGCAAAAGGATGATATTCACTAGAGTTTTATTAATTTGCAGACACTTTAAAACTCAGAATTATGAAAAGAAGTATGTGTCATTTTATGTTTATACGTAATTTTATCATATACGTTTTATATTTAGACATTTCCAAGAATAGCAGATATTCTTATCTCTGATACATATTGTTTTGGTCTAGTTATTCATTATTGGTTTGTCTTTTTTGCTCTCAGTGTGCTAATAGTTGTTAGGAATCACTCCATACAAATAATGGACTCCCCTGACTTTGACAAAACCATTTTTCTTATTGCTCAGATAAGTTATAATGTAATAATTCATCATATCATATAAGCTTCTCTAAGTCAAAGCATCTGTTATTGTAGTTAAGATAAAATAAATAGATTAGTGGAACAGAAAGAAACTTTACTCAGAAATTATACTTTCTGCATTTATTTTAAAAAGCTTAATGCACAGTTGGAATAGTATTCATAGCTTTCAAATGAATGGAAACTCTTTATTTCCTGGAGCCAGCTGGTTGAGGACTTTATAATCCCCTCTCCCTGGGAATCAAAGGTAAATTAGAAAGCAAGTTTTCGCTGTAATTCACTGCCTATCTTCATTAAAACGGCTGGGTCTTCTATGTCCTTCTATTGCAGTTGACCAGAGTGATTAAAAAATTTCCTCTTGATATGGATGAAATGACCGTATAAATTGCACTCCATTGTTCTAACTACCCCCCAAAAAATAAAAATAAAAAAATACATTTTGAAAATTTAACTGGATTTCAGTCACAAGTGATTTCTCTTTTATTAGTTAGGATAGTCTTCTGATTCAAACTTTGTGATTTGGGTAGAGAAGAGACTTTCCTGATTTCTATCTAATGCACCTTGCTGCTGATGGAGGCATAATGCAGATAGGAGGTGTTTTAAAAAATATTATTTCTTTGCAGGGCTTCAAGATCAATTCAGTTAAGCAATTCCCCAAACCCATTATAAGGAATTAAAACAATCATATTTTAGAATTCCACTACACATTTATTGTTATGTAGGAAGCAAAATCTTTTGAAGATATATTTTGCATGTTCTTTTGCATGTTCTTAAAAAGCCTGCAAACTACCAAGATACTAGATGAGCTATTGTTTTGTTGTTTGTCATTAGGCAGTTACTTGCAATTAAAATAATTGTGCTTGTTTATTATCAGATACATGGGAGGTTCCTTTTGAAGAGATATCTGAGCTTCAGTGGTTGGGCAGTGGAGCACAAGGAGCTGTTTTCTTAGGCAAATTTCGAACAGAAGAAGTGGCCATCAAGAAAGTGAGAGAACAGAGTGAAACTGATATCAAACACCTGAGGAAGCTGAAACATCCAAACGTCATTGCTTTCAAGTAGGTGAATTATTCTGATTCTAGAGCTACCTTTTCAAACTAATGCTGTAAGTCTTCATACCCTGTTTCCCCAAAAGTAAGGCCTACTTTTGGGGGGTGGGCCTAATATAAACCCTACCCCAAAAATAAGCCCTAGTTTTGGGGTGAGGCACACACTTAAAAATCAAGCTAGGGCAGGGGTGTGTGTGTGGATCTGCCCTATGCATCCCGCACCCACTTACCTTGCAGCCAGGCCTCTCCTCGCTGGCCCACTTCTTCTGAGGCGTCTTCTGCAGCCAGGCCTGCATTTTTCAGTCACAGGCCTTTCCTGAAGGCCTGTGTAGCCGAGAACCGAACTATAGATTCAATCCATAGCTTGGTAGTCGGCTGCATAGGCCTTCCAGAAATGCCTGATTGCAAAATGCAGGCTGGAATGCAGCTGCAGAATGAAGCTGCTCCTTCGGCCCCAGAAGAAATGGACCGGCTGGGTGGTGCTGTCGGTGCCGGAGGTGAGTAAGACATCCCCCGAAAGGAAGACCTGGTACCTCTTTTGGGGAAACACGGGTATTTGGATTAAAGCCATTCAGAGTACAGCACTGAAGTTTCCTTTATTCTTTGAATCTTAGTTCTTAATGGAAAAAGTGTTATCTGGTAATACAGTAGAATTACTACTTTTGTTGTAAGTGGATTTTCTGATATAGTAAGAAGTAGTTTGTAATAGCATATGCTTGAGTTCTTTCAATTAAAAACATTATTGTTGAAAAGAGCAAGAATAATGAAATCTTTTAGAGAAGTACTATAGTTGCTTCCCCATTATTTAAATAATAGTCACTACAAGACTATTACTCATGAATAGAAATGCAGAAAGCTTTTTGAAATGAAAATGTCCCAATCTTGAAACCTTTGACTATTTCAAACTTTAGCAGAAATGTTCTAATGTTGTTCAAACAATTCTTAGTGTTCTGTTCTTTTGAAATATTTTGCACACCTCTAGCCAGGAACAATAATAAATGTCTGTGTTTTGGGGAAATCTTTGGAATTTTCATTATAATGAACTTATTTTTTTTTCTTTCTATCTTCACCTCATCAAAATGTCATTGCTGAGCATGAAAAAAGCATTTACCATTATGCAGTCAGTACAATTTCATGCACTTCAAGGATGTATGTAATCTGTTCTCGAGGGAAATCATTTACTGTTTACTGTTAAATTTTCTGTATATACTAGGTCTAATTTGACCAAATGGCAAATAAGCAATAGTAGTTTCTTAGGAAGTGCTTTTGATTATTCTGTAGAAATGTGAATCAGAAACTTGTCTTTATTAGTTTCTTTCTTAATTCCCCATTGCTTTGATTTTGATTTTTAAAACATCTATTGTTCTTTTTTATCTTAGGGGCGTTTGCACACAGGCACCCTGCTACTGCATAATAATGGAATACTGTGCACATGGACAATTGTACGAAGTGTTGCGAGCAGGTAGAAAGATAACGCCTCGTTTGCTTGTAGACTGGTCCACTGGAATTGCTAGCGGAATGAATTATTTACACCTCCATAAAATTATCCACAGAGATCTCAAGTCACCCAAGTGAGTAGACAGAGTTTATAAAATATAAGGAGATAAAATGAAATTGAAATAAAGGTGGAATTACTATGAATCTCTCGTGTGATTTCCTGTGTATTTTATTCTTTTCAGTGTATTAGTTACCCACAACGATACGATGAAAATTTCTGATTTTGGTACTTCTAAAGAACTCAGCGATAAGAGTACAAAAATGTCCTTTGCAGGAACAGTTGCTTGGATGGCCCCAGAAGTGATTCGTAATGAACCTGTTTCTGAAAAAGTAGATATATGGCAAGTAATACTATTATAACTACTCACCTATTTCAGTACTTCTATTAAAAACCATTACTTTATGCTTCCATGTTTTGTGGTTGCTGGCAGATTTTATTTTTTATTAAGCTTTCTTTCTGTACTGTGCTTTCTGCAAAATAATTCTGCTGTAAGGAATCTAACATTTATCTTAACAATTTGTTTTTATACCTGTAAATTTTAATTGGCAGGTCCTTAGGGCTTTATTGCTTTTATTATATTTGAGTCTGCTTTTGTAACTGGAAGTTTTTAAGAAGAGACTGGACAGCCATTTGTCCGAAATGGTATAGGGTTTCCTGCCTGAGCAGGGGGTTGGACTAGATGACCTTCAAGGTCCCTTCCAACTTTACTATTA